TCATCATCATCATCGTCGTCATCATTACTATCATTATCATCATTATCATTATCATTATTATTACTGTTATTGTTATTATCATTATCATCATTATTATTATTATTACTGTTTGTTAAAAATATCATTATTATTAGTATCATCATCATAATTATTGTCTTTATCATCATAATGATAACAATAATAGTAATAGTAGCAGTAGTAGTAAAAATAGTAGTAGTAATAGTAGTAGTAGTAGTAGTAGTAGTAATAAAACAACAAAAACAAACTGATAATAAAAATGAGGATAAACTTGATGGCGATAAAAAGGATAACAACAATAACAAATACATGCTTCCCCATGTTCCGACAGACCACAGAGTTCTCAGTGGCCTCAGAATGTCACCTCAAAGAAACGCTTTGCATGAAGTACGGCTTTTGGTCACCAGAACTAGGACGCTGCTTCGTCCCAGATAACATTGACGAGGTAACGCTACCAACTCTGGATCCTTCGGTTATAGAAGGACTAGACGGCTTAAACCTGACCGAAGCTGACCTCTCTGACCCCGAGTTCATTCTGTCGATCCTGGAAAGCGTGAGCCAGACGGACCCTGTGAGTATTGACATGGGGATCATTCAGTCGGTCTTGGAGAATCTGGATATCTGTATTTTGGAGAGGTTGAACGCCACTGAAGACGTCGACCTCTCAGGCATGGGAGCGGCCGAGATTCTGGGTATGTTGGGGTCTATTTTATCCAACATTTCGCTGCCGGAACTTCCCGAAGGCACGAACTTCAGCTTTCCGGGAGAGAGGAAGATCTTCTACGGTCCACCAGGAAATTTCAGCGAGGGTGCGGCCAAGCATTTAGCTGATGTTCTTCGTCTCGGTCACCACGGTGGGTCTCAAGAAACCTTGCTTTCGGGTTGACTGGTTCGTTAACGTTATCAGAATATGCGATTGCTATTTGCTTTATCGATATTAGTCTTGGGTTTATTTCACCTGGATTTACGGTCTCTCATTTGCGCTTTTTGATAGTCGTGACACTTGCCATATATTTAAACCGCTACACATAACAATATAGTTATATGGAGATACACGAATTAATGCGAATGACTAAATCTCCTCTCCCATGCCTTGCCGCCTGCAGTCCTGACCCCCGTGACCAGCAACGAGGACTTAGACGCGCAGGTTGACAAGTCGTACTTTGCCACCAACGACTCCTTTGCAGCCTTCTACATCGGCCTCTTCTTCAACGATCTGGACGATCCGGATGTGCCACCTCAGCACCTGAACTATGACCTGAGGTTAACGGGATTGTGGTTCACTGATCTGCTATACCCATTTCTGCAGATCCCTGGTCCGAGGAACTTCACAAGTAATTACAAGCAGTTTTTTTTAATGTTTTGAGCATATTATCTCATTATCTCCTGTAGTAATTAAATCTGCTTTATTCAAGATATATATAACATTTTTACGTGAAGCATGAGTATAGTATGATATTCTGCATTTATTCCTTAAGTGATTCAGTACGGATTTACGGTCCAAGTATGATACAGATAGCAGGCATTAAACCCCCATTTTACATATAGACTGTTTTGCTTTTACATGCCGATTTTTTTCTTCTTTATTCTTTATCTTCTTCTTCTATACTGATTATTTTTTCTTTTCTTAATACAAATATATATAAATGTAGATATTACCTCATATATATTATATACATTGATATATACTATATAACAAATCTACAAACATATATTTCCTTCTTTTCTTTTCTTTTCTTTTCTATCCATTCACAAATTCATATGTTTCTTGACCAGTTATTACTGAAAGCTACGGTATGGACGGATTCACGCTAATCCAGAGCTTGGTGGACAGGTACTTCATCTCCCAGTTGACGGGCGAACCTCAATACAGAATGCAGTACAGGGTAAATACAGTAGACATCTATTTTAGCATTTTTTTCATTCATTTATCGCTAAATTTCCATAAATAACACTTTCTGACGATGAATTCGAAGGAACGAAACGAAGCGAATTGATCTTTACTCTATGAGTTATCCTTTTCATCATCAATCATGCTCATTCTCATTTCTTTATCGAGAATCTTATTTCATCTTCGTTTTAATTCCATTCTCCCTTGTTTTCACTAAATTCTCCTTTATTTTTAGTTCCAATCTCCCTTATTTCAATTTGATTCTCCCTTATTTTTAACACTGTTCTCCTTTACTTTTCATTTCATCCTCCCTCACTCTTCATTCCATTTTCCCTTATTCTTAATCCCATTCTCCCTTTTTAAATTTCTTTCTCCCTCACCTTTAATTCCATCCTCCCTTGTTTAATCCCATCCTCCCTCCTTTTTAAATTCCATCCTCCTTCCCTTTTAATCCCATCCTCCCTCCCTTTTTAAATTTCTTTCTCCCTTTTTAAATCCCATCCTCCCTCACCTTTCATTCCATCCTCTCTCCCTTTTAACCCCATCCTCCCTCCCTTTTTAAAATTCTTTCTCCCTTTTAAAAATGCTTTCTCCCTTTTTAAATGTCTCTCTCCCTTTTTAAATTTCTTTCTCCCTTTTTAAATCCCATCCTCCCTCACCTTTAATTCCATCCTCCCTCCCTTTTAACGCCATCCTCCCTCCCTTTTTAAATCCCATCCTCCCTCCCTTTTTAAATTTCTTTCTCCCTTTTTAAATCCCATCCTCCCTCACCTTTCATTCCATCCTCTCTCCCTTTTAACCCCATCCTCCCTCCCTTTTTAAAATTCTTTCTCCCTTTTAAAAATTCTTTCTCCCTTTTTAAATGTCTCTCTCCCTTTTTAAATTTCTTTCTCCCTTTTTAAATCCCATCCTCCCTCACCTTTAATTCCATCCTCCCTCCCTTTTAACCCCATTCTCCCTCCCTTTTAATCCCATCCTCCCTCCCTTTTTAAATTTCTCTCTCCCGTGTTTAATCTCATCCTCCCTCCCTTTTTAAATCCCATCCTCCCTTTTTAAATTTCTCTCTCCCTTTTTAAATTCCGTTCTCCGTTCCAGCTCCACACTCAGATGTACCCATACCCGCCCTTCACCCAAGACTATGGAATGAGTCAGTTTTACGGGTCCGCTTTGCCCACGTTCGTCGTCCTGTCTCTCGTTCTTCTGTCGCCGTCGCTGATCAAGAGCGTTGTTTACGAGAAGGAAACGGGCGTCAGGGTAAGGTGTTCGTTGGTTGGTTGTTGTTGTTGTTGTTTTATCGTTATATTCTTCTTGCAGTTCTAGGACTGACGTATTAATTTATCGGCTTCACTGCGATTAAGTTTTATCAATTTATCCTGGAGTTGATTTTCTTCTTGTTATTTTTTATTTAGTTGCATTTTGGTATTTGTGAATTTGTAATCCATTCGTTTTTTTTTTATACGAGATACCGGTTTTATCAACAAATATTTTTTTACGCTCGGGGTCCCCTGGATTAAATTCTCTTGATGTTTCTTAATTTGTTTTGATTTTAATCTACGTATTTCCCGTGTAAATGATTTTTTCTTCTTTAACTTCAAGCCTAAGTTCTTGTTTTTCTCTTTTTTTCATTATTTTAATTTCTTTTAATTTCATTCTCGTTTTTTGCCTTTCCTCCTTCTTCCTTTTCATCTTATCCTCATTCTCCCTCATTTTTATTCTTCTTTATCCTTCTTCCGTCTAATTCCATTCTCGTTACTCCTCTTTCTTCTCCCCTTTTCTCTCTTCCTTCTTCTCATTTCATCCTCGCTCTTCATTTCTCCTTTTTCTTCCTTCTTTTATCTTACCTCGTCCTCTTTCCTCTTTTCTTCTTCTTTCTCTTAATTTCACCCTCGTTCTTTGTTCTCCTTTTCTCTCCTTTCTCCTCTTCCTCATTCTTTTTCCTCCTCCTTCCTACCTTCCTCCTTCGTTTCTTCCTCCTTCCTTCCTTTCTTCCTTCCCCTTGCGTTCGTCCTCATTCCTCTTTTCCTCCTTCCTCCTTCCTCATTCTTTCTCCTACCCCCTGCGTTCTTCCTCATTCCTCCTTTCTCCTCCTTTCTCCTTCCTCCTTTTCTCTTCCTTACCTGCGTTCTTCCTCATTCCTCCTTTCTCCTCCTTTCCTCCTTCCTCCTTCCTCCTTTTCTCTTCCTTCCCCCTGTGGTTCTTCCTCCTCATTCCTCCTTTCTCCTCCTTTCCTCCCTCCTTCCTCCTTCTTTCTTCCTTACCCCCTGCGTTCTTCCTCATTCCTCCTTTACTCTTCTTTCCTTCCTTCTCTTCCTCCTTTTCTCTTCCTTCCCCCCTGTTCTTCCTCATTCCTCCTTTCTCCTCCTTCCTCCTTCCTCCTTTTCTCTTCCTCCCCCCATCTCCTAATCCCCGTTCTCTTCCCTTCTCGCAATCGCAGGAACTGATCCGTCTGATGGGCCTAGAGAGATGGCTCGTTTGGCTCGGGTGGTTCTTGCACTCGTTTATCGTCATCCTCGTCGTGTCAACTGTCATAACGATTCTGCTCAAGTTGCAACTCACGCCCATGGATGACTCGTCGGGTTTCCTGCCGCCCATTATCATCCATACCGATCCCTTCTTCATGTGGGTTCTCTTCGTCCTCTACGGCATCTCCTCCATCGCCTTCTGCTTCGCCGTGTCTACTTTCTTCAGCAGGCGTGAGTGTCCATTTTGGGTTCTTAGTTTTGGGTTCTGTTTTTTTTTTTTTTTTTTTTTTTTTTTGGGGGGGGGGGTGTTTTATATACCTTTTCGTTTTGTTTGTTTTTTGTCTTGTTTTTTCTTTCTTTCTTTCTTTTCATGTTTTCGTCCTTTTTCATTATTTTTTTCTTTCTTTTCATTTTTCTTTCTTTTCATTTTTTTTTCTTTTCTTCTGTTATTCTTTATTCTCATTTTTTTCCTTTCTCCCTTTTCTTTCTCTTTATTTCTTTTGATTTCCTTCTTCATTTCTTTCTCTCCCTTTCTTTATTAATTTATTTTCTCTTTCATTCTTTAACCATTTAATTTATCTTTCATTCTCTATCTATTTTCTTCATTTTTTTCTCACTCACCCTCCCCTAGCCCTCTCTCTCCCTCACCTCCCTCTATCATCCTTCTCTCTCCCTCGTCCCCTCTCATTCTCTCTCCCTCATCCGCCCCTTCATTCTCTCTCCCTCATCCCTCTCTGTCAACCTTCTCTCTCCCTTACCTCCTTCTATCATCCTTCTCTCTCCCTCACTCCCCCCTCATTCTCTCCTCATTCTCTCTCCCTCAGCCACGCTCGCCACCACCCTAGGCATCCTGCTGTGGCTGACATCCTACTTCCTGCCTCGTCAGCTGATGGACTTCGAGTACAACACCCTTGGTCTGGCGCCGAAGATCCTGTCCTGCTTCTTACCCAACATGGCTATCACTTGGGCCTTCAGGATAATTGCTATGTTCGAAGGGAGAGGTAAGCAGCTTCCAGAATTAGTCCGGGAGGTGAGGGGTATGTGTGGAAGAGATTAAGGGATTCGAAATGATGATGGGTTAAGTGGGAGTGATGGTGGTGTGGGTGGTGGGAGTGGTGGAGGTGGCGGGGGTGGTGGGGGCGGTGGGGGTGGTGGGGGCGGTGGGAGTGGGGGAGGTGGTGGGGGTGGTGGGGGTGGTGGGGGCGGTGGGAGTGGGGGAGGTGGTGGGGGTGGTGGGAGTGGTGGAGGTGGTGGAGTTGGTGGGGGTGGTGGAGTTGGTGGAGTTGGTGGAGGTGGTGGAGTTGGTGGGGGTGGTGGAGTTGGTGGTGGTGATGCGCCATGTGTTCGAGTCGTAAAATTTAGGAACGAGTTATATATCAGTTGGATAATAGGATTAAAACGAGAAGGAGGAGGAGGAGGAGGAGAAGAAGAAAAAGGAAGAGGAAAAGAAAAGGAAAAATAAGAGGAGAAAGAGAACGAGGAGGAGGAGAAAGAGAAAGAGAGAGTGAGAAAAAGATAATGATAATAATAACTGTAACAATATTAGTAATGATAAAAATGATAATAATAATTATAGTAAGAAGAAGAAAATGAAGAAGGAGAAGAAGAAACAGCATTAATAATAACATATACACCACCAAAAACCGCAATGACACAAGCAATAATTTTATTAACAATGACAGTATTACCCATAATATTATTAGCAGTAGCCATCACACTGAGGTTTATAGTCCCCCACGTTGTTAATTTAACATACAATAGTCTCTCCCCTTTCATATACATACCTACGCTTGCCTTCTCCTATCTGAATACTTTTCCAATGCGAATGAAATTTTTAAAAAAACACTTCAACGGTGAATAGAATAAGCTATTTTCAACCTTATTGGATCATTGGGTGGCATTAACGAACCCTTCTTCTTGCAGCGTTGGGTGTGCAGTGGAACAACCTGTGGGACACCGGTAACCCTCGGGATCAGCTGACTCCGGCTATGATCCTCATCATGCTGGCCGTCGACACGCTCTTGTACCTTTTCATCACTTGGTACGTCGATCACGTCAGCCCGGGCAAATACGGGGTTCCTTTGCCGTGGTACTTCCCTTTCCAGGTTAGTCCTCAGATCTTTTTTGGTTATTTCTCTTCGTTAGTACGTGTAAAGTAGATAAGTTTTCCCTTTTCTCAGAATGTTTCCTTGTTCTCCTTTCTCTCAAAATACTTAATTGTTCTCCTTTCTCTGAAATTACTTCCTTGGTCTCCCTTTCTCTTATTTTTCTCTCAAATAAGTCATTATCTCGTAATTATTCAAACGACTCATCTTTCTCCTCTCTTCCAGAGGAGCTACTGGTGTGGTGCATCTCCGACGAAGGATAACGATCGAAGCTTCGACTCTGAGTCACCCGAGGACGAGTACTTCGAGGAGGAACCGGAGGGTCTGAAGGCGGGAATCACTATAAAGAAATTACGGTACTACTATTTCGTTTGAATAATCCTGTGATTGAATTGATGTCGAAAAAAATGGATTTTAAGTGTCAGAATATACAGATAATTCTCTTTGGTCAACAGTTAAGTATATTTCCTATTTTTTTATATGCCTAGAAATTTAAAAATCACATTTCTAAGGTAGTGATATGCTAATTAGGTGAGCCTGAAGTACGAACTCTATTATCACCAACAGATGAAAGTGTATCACCAGTAGAATTCAACTATATATTTTTTTAAGTGGGTGCAGTATCAATGTGCCGTCACAGTTAATAGCACAAAAACAAGACGGTAAAGTAAAGCAAAACTGGATCAGACAATTACGTGTATTTCAGGAAGGAGTTCAAGACACTGGGAGGGAAGACGAAGGTGGCTGTCGAGGACGTGTCTCTAACGTGTTATGAAGGCCAGTGCACGGTCTTGCTTGGACACAACGGCGCCGGCAAGACCACTACGATGTCCGTCCTCACAGGTCTAGTCCCACATTTGTTTCGTGGAACATCGTTACCGAAATAATAATAATTGATAAAACGGTGACGATTTGATGGATATATAGATAGATAAACAGATAGATAGATAAATAAAGTTCTTCTTACTCCAGGTGTGTACGCCCCTTCGGCTGGCTACGCAGAAGTGGGCGGCTGGGACATCGC